CGGCCCGGCCCCGCCCGCTCTGACGCAGCTGCTCGGCTGCGCCCCTCGTGGAGCCGTGAGCGGGGCGTGTGTGCGCGCACGACACCGCCCGGCACCCGCACCGGCACCCGCACCGGCACCGCGAGGTGCTGACCCGCGCCCCACGCCGTTCTCTCCGCCGTGTCCCGGTACGTGGGGCCGCGCCACATCCCCTTTTCTTTTGCAGGAGCAGCATTTACCATCGCTCCCCCGAAATCGTCCTCTGCTCGAAGGCGCGGGGTGGGGGGAAGGGGTTTCAAAGCGCCTTTATGCTCTTAGGGTAGTGTCCTCAGAGCAAATTGTGAGGGTCCGATTAAAAATCATCCCCGAAGAAAAATCGTAGTGAGCATCAGGGGTGCTCACTAAAACCAAGGTGACATTCACAGAAATAATTAAAACTGTGTATCCACGTAGGTCCCGACTGGTATCTGGTCGTTCAGGTACTCACAATTAAGGAGATTAGAGGAATGTATGCATGTATTGGTCTAAAAGTTGGCCAGTATGTCAGTGCCTCTTCTTGATGATAGTATATTACAGGCCTTGACATCATCAGTTACATTATCCTGTAGAGCAGATGTCATGGAACTGTCCCTGCAGCAACTGAGTAACTTAACAGGGATTGTGCAGTTTCCATCCCGAACTTTGTCTAGAGTGTTAATCAGAAGTTAATCAGTTGCTCTGCTTGGGTTGGGCTAACCAGGGTGAGAGGAGGACGAGGAGGTCTGCAAGTGGAGAGATGACAGCTGGGGACATCAGGGCTGTCTGTGTGTCGTTCCCTCAACCCCAGTGAGCTCATGAGCTCAGACTCATTCAGGGAGCAGCTCCATGCATTTTCCTGGCTCCGTGTTTGAGCTCAGCAGCCCAGCTTCTCAGCTGCAGTGACTCAGAGTGTGGGGTGTTGAAGACACTGTATGGCGCCAGCCCAGCTTTGGTGGCCCTGTGTGGCACTGAAGTGTGTGTGCAGTCTGGGAAGGAGCTGAGCCTCCAGGAAAGCCAGAGAGAGAACCTGACCTGTCCTTCTGAAGGCTCTCAATGGAGGCATCCCAGACTCTGTGTGGCAACTGCCAATATGTGCTGGCTTGGGAGCTCTTCGTCTTGAAAATGCTGTATTTCTTCCAGACCCAATCAGACCTGAAAATCAGTGGAAGTGAATTTGTGCAATGCCAGGCTGTAGCTACCCTCCAGAAAAATAACATAGAGGAATTATTTCTTTTAAACAATATGTTTAACTTTTCTTATATGACCCTCTAGAGTTTATGATCCCAAAGTGTAAAACTTTGGGATCCCAAAGTGTAAAACAGAAGTGTAAAACTTCTGATGAATGAATAAACATCAGAATTTCCTACAACCCTACCATGCAAGAATGTGGAGCTTAAAGAAAAAACTAGAAAAACAGCATCCTTGCAAAAGCAAGAATGTTGCTCAGCTGTTAGTTCAGAAATGTGTGTGCTAAAGCACAGCAGGGGAGAAATGGTCCTGGGGAATTCATGAAGGCGATGGTAATTGTACTTGGCTGAGAGGAAGCATTAAACTAACAGGAGTTATAGAATTGCCTGTGCCCTACCAGCCTATGGACTAAGGATAGATAGTTCAGTGGCCTGTGCCCAGCCTTGTGTTCTGCTGGTCCCAGCTGTGAAGAGTGATCAGATATGCCAGCCCAGTGCCCCCAGTGCCCCCCATTCTGCCTTGCTTCTGGCTGGGATGGTGGGACCAGCCCTGGCTGGTGAGGTCTTGCCACCCCCAAGGGGACCCTGCCACTTTTTGACAATTGTATGCTCTGCAACAAGTCTTTGCCATATGCTATATATATTCTCTCAGGCATATTGAAAAAGTATGAAATTATGTAGTAGTAGACAGAAAAAAATATAGGGCTGAGGTCAACCCACTAGTATGTACTGATGGCCTTTCCCACTGTGCCTTTACACAGATTCATATTTGAATGACCTTAAGGGAGAATTTTCTCAAAAAGGCTACCCTAGCCCCCCAGAAGTCCCCAACAATCTGACAAAATAGGATTCTGTGTTGCATGGCACTTGCTTATTCCCCAAGAGAGCGGTAAGTGAGGGATGCTGGTTCTGTTGCTCAGTGCACTGCTGGTAGGTGCCTGGGTGCATGAAGCAGGAGGCCGTACAGGGATGAACCTGTGGTTCCCAAGGAGGTTGCTCAGTTGCTGACTGACAGCCTGCATGATGTGTCTTAGTCTGGCTGTTGCCCAGGTTTTGAGAAACCATGAGTCAGGTTTGCATCCAGATTGACTGTGTTGCTAAAACTTTCCTGTTTTAAAATGTGATTTTAGAACCACACATTTTACACTCTCCGTAGAGCATGTCTTAGACCTTAAATAAAGCCTTATGGAAGATATTAAAAAGATAGCAGCATTACTGGATTTGCGTAAAATAACAGATTAAAATAAATTATCCTACAGAGATAAACCTCGTTATCGCCAAACTATTTGGTTTACAAGAACTTCACTGTGTTTGAGCACAGTTGTGTAGAACTGAGTTTAGTTGCTTGAAAAATTGCTTTTCTGTCTGTGATGTACCACCAAGTCAAACTCCACAAAGATTCACACATTTGAATTCTGCAAATGAAGTATGAAGAAGCAGCTGGCAGGGCACTAACTATCTGTGAGAGATCCCCAGTTTTGGAAAGCTCTATCCACTGTCGTCCACCAGAACCTGAATTTGCTTACCTCCAGGAATGCAGCAAAGTCCATATTTTTTTTCTTCTTTGTTAAAACTATTGGAGAGTTTGTTTGAATAGGTATGTTTATGGGTGGTCCTTTTACTCATGTCTGATTTTTTCACAGCTGAGATCCAGGGCAGGCACTTGTATTTTCAAGCAATCAATATAATTGACTGCCACAGTTCTGGTAATACCTGAATTTAGGGTTGATTTTTTTCTTCTTTTTAATTATTCACACTGAACAAAGAAGTTGTGGTGACTATTGCATTAATGAATTAAATTTATCCAAATTTGTAAAATTTTCCTAAGTATTTTCTGAGAATTTCCATCCTTCCTTGTTTACCCTCAGTTCCTTCTTTCCTCCCTTCCTTTCTTTCCTTTAATCAAAGAGCACAAGCTTACATAAAACTTTAGGAAAAGAAAGTACTAGGCTATGCAACATACAGCCAAACTACAGAATTCATTATTACACACAATTGCTGAAGCAGTTCTATAATGAATTTAAAACCTGATTAGATACTTTCAGCAATACCCAGAGCTACAGCAGACTGTGCTGTCTGTATCATATATATATATATATCCATCTGTGTCGTGTATATACACATATATAAAAGGAAGACTCAATTTCCCAAGGCTGTAGTACTTGAGATTTCATGAAAATTACTTTTACTAAAAATAATTAATATTATTAGGATGAGTAATTAACATTCATTCTTCTGGGTTTATGCTGATGGCCTCTGAGGAAATTTGAAGACCTATTTTCCTATGTATAGCAGTAAGTAATTGGCAGCATGGTACTGGGTCATTGGGTGTAGAACTTATTCTTGGGGGGGGATTCTTTTTTACCTTGCTATTAAGTGTTTTTTCAACATATTTAAAATTTTCATTTTATGTCTGGCCAACCATTGCAAATATATTTTAAGTATTTTATAGAATGTCCTTAAACAAATGTTTATATTTATTTTAAAAATGAAATAAAAACTGATATTCTCATGTTTGCCCCTCAACACCTGTCGTACTCTGTACACTCCACATTTAATATATTGTCTTACATTCTCCAGAATATGTCTCATGTATACTACTTACTCTCTAGACATGGTCCTGCTTTCAAAAGTTGTAAATTGGTTTTACTGGCTTGACAGTTTTCACCAAAAAGTGCCTGTAACCTTCTGTGACAAAAGCTTGTGGTAATGGTACAGAAGTCATGGCAACAGTTTTCTTTGGCTGCTCAGCAGGAACAGAAGTCTTAGATCTTCTGCTTCATCTGCAGTTCTGAATTTATGTGGGATGCATGGATACAACTTATTTGGTGGTTGTATAACTCACCTAGAAAAATCCTTCTAGCATCTGAATTGTGGTCTACCAAAGACGGTAACCTTGGTGGTACTTGGTTTTAATAGTTATGGAGTATGATTCTGCAGCTGGAAGGAAGATACAGTTATCTCCTTGGGCTTCTGTCCATCCTGTGAGGTGAAAGAATTACGTATGTTCTGCAGAGAGTGTAGGTTAGAAAAGGCATGCGCTACAATAATTTCTTATGAACATCCAAATTAAATCAGGAAGAATGACCGTGTGCCTAGTTTAATTGTTGCAGTATTTATTTTGAAAAGAAGCCTGTGCCATTATTTTTATCTAGCACTATGGAAACAACCTTCAAAACATAATTGTGTATCTTACACACTGCCTAAACAGATCAAATCTTTTGCACCATTTATGCGCTTACTGTCAGCATCTGGGCTAAGGAGAGAAAATGCTTTTCTAGAATTTTTGGATCTTTCCAAACAAATCTTATCAATGTCTCAAGTTATAGTTTGAAGCACACCGATAACCTTCATGCATCCTTCTTAATTACTTCTCTTGTTTTGGAATGATATATCCTACATACTTCTTCAAAATCCTCCTTTACACCTACAATACTGACTTTTTTCTTGTTTCTCTGCCTACGTTGCTAATTTTTTAGTATCTTTTTTTTCCTATTACATCTTTTCTTACTAAAAGTGCCATAAAACTCTGTGTTTAGCCTACAGGTTTGTAGACACTCATGACCATTTTTGTATTCCCAATCTTGCTGAATCCAGTTTCTCACTGAGCACTAGACCGACCAGCAATTTAAGCTAGTGGAAATTACTTCCTCCTCCAAGTCTTTTATTCTTCCTAGGCTTTCTTACCATATTATTGTCCCTCATGTCACGTGGGTTCATAACCCAGGAATCACTTTCGTCTTCAGCAAATGTAAAGAACCACTTGAGTGAAGAAGGAAATTTAAGCATAAAACTTTTCATAGAGCAGCAGTATGTATTTTTAAGTTCTTGAAGTTAAAACTGAGAGACTGAGCTGAGAATCTCATGACTATGGATTGCTTCCCCAGGTGAGCTTAGTCACTCTAAGTTCCAGAACTCTACCCGAATCAAGCTACACTCCATGTATCCCACAATCACTGATTTTCTTCTTAACAACAGACAACCCCCAAATAATTTATCAGCATTAATCTGGAATTAAATCCCTCAATGCACAGCCT